GCTGACTATTGACTGTCTCCAAAATCAGTAGGACTTTCCTGGGATGAGAACAGAGAACAACAACAAGCGCTTCATTGTTAGCAGGAGCTCTTAGGTGTTGATCTTCCATGGTTCACCTCGAGTGGGATCTTGGTGCACTCTATGGAAGGGACACAGGACTTGGGGTCTCAGAGGGTAGTGGTGGGTCTATAGCCAACTCAGTGCATGCTGTCAAACTCTATAGTTTCTGTTGTCAGTTTCCCAGGAACATATTGAAAATCAACCTAGCTGCAAAATGTAAGTCTGAGCTAGCAGTAGCCTCCGGAATCCACAGAGGTGAAATGTGGATGTGATTTTGTCAGGATCTGTATAGGTTTTTGTCATCCACTGTCAGGGCACTGTTGGCTAAACAGCGTGAAGGAAGTAAGTTCCTAACGTGGACCTCAGTCCGTGGATCGACAGGGTGGTGAGATACTGCAATGCATTACTGTGATGGCGGAGGTCTGACATCTAACTAATTGAGATTGTGATAAGCGATCATTCTTTTTATGTTTTTGAGTAAGTTTTTTTAATGGAATTGAACAAGCAATAAATATGCTAAATGGGATTATGCTATGTGGTGTTGCTTTGTTCCCTTTATCTTGAGCTTTTAGAGTTTTAATGTACCACTGTGGGGAACGAAAATTTTGGATGGATCCACCAAAATAAAAGTGCTGTTTGCCTATCATGTAATATGACAAGGCATTTGCTTGTGGTGAGCATTGTTTCCTGAGAGGATACGGTTCACTGAGCACAAGGGGTGATTGATCTGCTACTCTGCTTAAAGGTGGCGGAGTGAAGCTGTGAACTATTGATCCAGAAGAAAACATCACACTGACTGTTGAGGAGGGATTTGGTGCACTTTTTCATCACCAATTGGTGGAAGACTATGAATTTTTAGGAAAAGCGTGGGAGCGCTGCTGTGATTAATGTTATATTAATTGCTATTCATGACAATTAATATCTGTTTAAAGTCCTCACTAGACATAAGATGCAGTGACGGAAAAATTTATAAAAAAAATGTTCCCTTGCGCTGTGTGATAATTTTAAATACAGAAACTTTACAGTTTATTCAGGGATAGTCTGTCTGTGGAAAAACAGTGTGATTAGCAATTCTTCTATGTAGTTTTATGTTAAAGTGAGATTTAATTTGCAAATAGTGTTTTTTTTTTAAATGTGATCTCATTTAAAAGCCTCTTATGAAGTGAACATAGAAGACAATGGCAGCTCTATTCTTTTCACTCAGAAGGTCACAGACATGATCTGTGTCACATGTATCAACAGAAAACAATTGTCCAGAGTCACATTGTCCACCCTGTGGTCTAGGGGCCACATGAAGCCCTCAAAGTGGAACTAAACCCTTTGACTTAACAGTTTAAAAAAACAATTACATTCCCAGCATGCCAGGAATGCTAGCTGTCACATTTGCTTATACTCTAAACTAAACTTTCAAAACCATCAAAATGGCCGGTGTTATAACTGATCACATGTGCAACATCATGGCAGTTGCAGATCAAACAAAGGCTAAGATGGGCAGCTATCTTGGCTGAAAAAAGATATGCTGGGTTTAGTTCCACTTTAAGCACTTACTGTGCTGCCCCTCTGCAGAAAGAGGTCAGTGTGTTCCTTACCTAGCGGCTACTCAAGCCAATAGAGAAATAATATTATTTACATTTAATTTTAATAGGGAAGTGATTTGATGTTTATAACACCATAATACTTTTTCCTGTGCTTTCCACCCTTTTTCCCTTTTAATGTTTTTTCCTCTCATCTTTTAGAAATGGATCTTGTGAAGAAAAACATAAAATGTGGCAAAATTAATTGTTAAGGAGGCTGTAAGGAGTACTGATTAGTGAAATAATTATAATAGCAGTGATTTCCACCAGCCTATGTAATACGTTGTAGTCTAGGATTAATTCCTGACACATGCTCAGTATTCATCATCTACTCTACCATATCTGCTGTCTTTGACAGCTCCCTCTAGCATTACGTTTATTAAGGGAGTCCTTTTTGTGCCCCTTATCTAAAGTAAGTTGAATTCGGGTCTATAGGTATGAAATGCAGTCAGGACTAGAGGCTCCCCTGCTTCCCAAAATCTACAGTGTACCTCGGTTTACGAATTTAATGCGTTCTGAGGACTTTTCGCATTGTGAAAAATTTGTAAATTGAAACGTGGTTTCCCATAGGAATGCATTGAAAAACCAATTAATCTGTCACGGAGGTCAGAAAAAAAGTAAAACAAAAGTCTTTTATCTGTTCAAAACTCTTTATAAAGTGCACTTTAAAGGCATAAATACTGTACAGGGACAGGATTAAAAAAAAAATTGTAAATGCATTGCAAACCAATTAATCCTTTCGTATTGCGAAAAAAATTTGTAAACCAAGGCATTATTTTGAATGGATTTTCATTCGTAAACCAAAAATTACGTTAACCGAGGCGTTCGTTAAACCGAGGTATGCCTGTATTTGCAAGTGTCTAATAAAACATGATTTTACTCACATATGGTACAGTAAGTCCTAAGTGTCTTCAAATCCTGCTAAATGAGCAGAATAAGGTGACATTGAATTATTATCCATGGGATTTCTGTTTGTGTTTTTCAAGCTCACTAATGTCCCATTTAGGTCTGATCACCAATCACCTTCTTGCCAAATAAAGTTTATGTTTTATTAATGTTCAACTAAAACAGGTAATGGATAACAAAACTTACCAGTGCAGGGAGTGGCACTATCAGGATAATTTAACTCTTATCATTTTACAAATGTTTTATTCACAATCTTCATACACAATATAAAATGAGCCACTTTGATGATGACATGTAAGTTTTACTTTCTTTGCTGCTGTACTTAAAAATACATATTACAAAATATGTAAAAATATTACGAAATATGTAAAAAATATAACTTCCTTCAAAAGATTTATTATCAAAATAAAGTTGCTATCACTTCTTTAGGACATGGCAGAATGAAACTTCATAAGGGTGGCCATGTATTCCAATTATTTTATTATGGTTTAAAAGGCTATCACGTCTCCCTGAATCTAATGCTACCAACACATTGCACCTGAAATAGGGCAAATTGTTCAGCAGAACACATTCATGCAAAAAGTCAGTGTCACAGCTGCTTCCCCTGCTTCCCCCCATTAGGATGATCTCCCCCCCCCCCCCCACCATCTCCTGTCCTGCCGCGGGTCTTTGAAGCTGAGCCGCACAGGACGAGAGGCGGCGGCCCTCGCACCTCTGCTACTATCTTGTTCCCATCCAGCAAGGCAGGAGGAGACGGGATGGCGAGGTTCACACCTCTCTACGGAGAGGTGCGAACCTCCTGCAGAGATGAGAGGGATCACTGCGACAAGCTGACGTCGCACAATCCCTGTCATCCTCAGCGCAGGCATGAGAAGTACCCGCGCTTGTGGATGTCCCTGGACAAAGGTTCGCACTCATGAGAAGCACAGCCCATGTCCAGGGGGCGTGCCTCGTTGCCGAGCGACAAGGCCCACCGCCCCTGGCCCACCCCCAGTTGCCAGGACGACCGGAGAGCGTCCTGCATCAGCTTAAGAGGCTGATGCCAGGCTCTCCGATCGTCCATTCCGCTGTGCAGTCATGGAGGGAGCCCCAGCTGCGGTGGGACCCTCGTGACCAGACTCTGCCTGAGACCCCCAAGGCTAGGGGGAGATCACCCACACCTGCCTGAGACCCCAAGCAAAGGGGGGAGATTACCTGCTACCTGCCTGAGACCCCAGCAGAGGGGAGATTACCTGCCAGCTGCCTGAGCCCCCCCAAGCCTAGGGGAGATTGCCTGCCAGCCTGCCGGAAACCCCCAGTCCAGGGGTAGATTGCTTGCTGCCTGAGACCCCAGTCCAAAGGGGGAGACCGCACAAGGCAGCCTGCCTGAGGCCCCAGCAAATGGGGAAGATTGCCTGCCTGCTGCCTGAGACCCCAGTACAGGGGGAGACCACACAAGCCAGCCTGCCTGAGACTCCCAGCCCCAAAGGGAGAGACCCCTTGCCTGTCTCGGACCTCCAACAGGTACCTGTGTCTTACTTTCTTATCCCTGGGAGACCGGACACCCTGTTGGATCCGTGGGCATATGCTTTCCCCTGTTTTACCTGAAACTGTCCCTGTGATGATCCCCTAACCCCCCTGTTGGATTACAATCTGCTACAGAGACTTTTTCTTTGCTCTCGATACTGGACTACAAGTGTTTTAGCCCCTCCTTGCTGTCCCCCTAATGGCGAGATCACCCTCCCTGCCATTTTCCCATTGAGTGACTGTCATTTTGTTATCTCAATAAAGCTATGTGCGTTTGCCATCTGCTCTGTGTGTTCTGTCCTGCCTACCCTTCGTCACAGACAGTAATAAGTAACAGATAGTATGGAAAGTAAAAAGAAAAGAAAAGAAAAATTCAACAGTCAAGGTTCTTGGAAAGGGTACTTTTCTACTACAGCGACTTTACAGAAATAAGCACAGCACAAGGGTAAATCATAGTAAGCAGAAAGTTAGCTTACCAACGCCGGCAGAGATGACTTCCCAGGTTGTGCTGTCCTTCTGTGTCTAAACGATGTCTGTAGATTTACCTTTCAAAGGACCAAATTGACAGGGAAACCCAAAACTCATGGGTTTCAGTAACATTTTGACTGCTGAAGCCAGATTGAAAAGAAGATGCTTATTATACAAGCAGGGGCGGACTGACCATTTGGAAACTCAGGCACTGCCTGAGGGCCCGGGGTCAGTAGTAGGCCCCATGAGATGCCCCTGGTACTGTCAGGGGCTCCGGGTATGACCAGAGGTGTGTGGACTGACACAGGGAAACGCAGGCTTCAGATATAGTATAAACAATATAATTTATTTAAGACTAAACAATACATAAACGCAGTGCAAGACTAAACATAAACACAGTGCAAACAAACCAAACCAAACCCCCAACAGATAACAAAAGAACAATACTAAGCGTAGTCGGGCAGGCCGGGTCGGTAGCAAACGGCAGGTAAGGTACAAAGGAGCAGGCAGAGCGTAGTCAGATGGGTCGGGTCAGGAACAATCAGGCAGACAAGGTACAAAGGAGCAGACTGGAGAGTGGCCAGGAATAGCAGAGGTCAGGACAGGCGGAGTTCAATCAGAGTCAGGATCAAGCAGGATCAGACAGGAAGCAAACAGGATGCAGGTACAGGGGCTCTTGGGAAACATACACCAAGGCCCTAATTGCAAGTCTGGCCATTCCTTATATGCACCTTCTGCAATCAGCCTCAGGTGTTTTGGCTGACTGCAGGAGTGAGCCTCTGGTTGCTGAGAGCACCCGCTGGCCATCCTGGTACTGCAACTCAAAAGGCAGGTGTCACGGTGTAAGGTCAGGTTCAGAGACCAGTTGCTATAGCAGTAAAAGGCTTACCTGGAACCAGCAGGATAGGTACACCAGCGGATCCCCCTGGGGAAATGACGCAGGGGTCTAAGTATTAACCGGTATTCACCAGAGCTCCTAATGGTGGAGATGGATTGGGCTGCGTGTTAATACCAGGTCGCAGATCTCAGGATCACCCCACCAGGGAATGAGCAGACTGGGAACCAATAGCGGATCAACAGGTTAGGGATCAGACGAAAGCAGAGTCGGTCACAAGCCAAGGGTCGGTCACAAATGGTAGCAGATCAATCGTGGTCAGGAACAAGCCAAAGGTCAGTAGCGGAGTGTAGACAGCAGCAGGAACAGTAGCAGGATATTGGCTGGAAAGGCACAATAATCTGGCAAGGAGGAAGTCCAAGGACATGGCTTATATAGGAAGTTCATGGGGAGGAGCAAGGAGTTCAAGGTTCAAGAGCAAACAAGGAACAAGGCAGGATTATCCAATAGATGAGGCAAAGTGTTGTCCAGCATCCTAGGTAGCTCAGTGAGTAGAGTTACTGCCTGACACAGTAGAAGTCCCAGGTTCAAGTCCAGGCCCTGACAGTACTCCCCTCCTCCCAGGACGTCCTCTGGACGTCTTAGGACTAGGCTTGTGTGGAAACCTCTGGTGGAATTCTCTTGTTAGTCTAGGAGCATGAACATTCTCCTCAGGCTCCCAAGAATTTTCTTCTGGTCCATATCCTTCCCATTGAACCAGATACTGTAACTTATTCCTAAAGATCCTGGAATCAAGGATTTTTCTCCACCACAAATTCTTCTTCACCCTGTACCTCAACAGGTGGAGGAGGTGGAAAAATTCTTCCAGGGAAAGGATTTTCCTGAAACGGTTTGAGTAGTGATATATGAAAAACAGGGTGAATCCTCATACTATCCGGAAGCTGTAAGCGAAAGGTGACTGGGTTGATTTGGGCAGAAATCTGAAAAGGACCCACAAACTTTTGACCCAACTTAGCAGATGGCACCTGGACCTTCAAATTCTTTGTGATAACCAAACTTTTTCACCCACATGAAACGTAGAAAGAGTTCTCCGGTGTCTGTCTGCAGACTTTTTGTAATACTCCTGAGCTTCCCTCAAAGTCTCAATCAATTTCTCTTGAATCTCCTGCAATGTAGTTAGTCTATTGGTAACAGCAGGGATTGGAGTTGTGATAGGGAGATCAGGAATAAAAACTGGATGGTAACCGGCGTTTAAGTAAAAAGGACTTTGAGAGGTGGAACTATGTTTAGAATTGTTGTATGCAAACTCTGCAGTGGGAAGACAGTTCACCCAGTCATCCTGAAGATAAGTGACAAAGCATCGAAGATACTGTTCCATTGTTTGATTAGTTCTCTCAGTCTGACCATTAGACTGGGGATGAAAAGCAGAGGACAGATTAATTGTAACACCTAAGGCTGAGCAAAAACTTCTCCAGAATTTCGAAGTAAACTGCACACCTCTGTCAGACACCACATCATCAGGGATTCCATGCAGTTTAAAGATTTCTCGAACCATCAGTTCAGCAGTCTGTTCAGCAGTGGGCACCCCCTTAACTGGAACAAAATGGGCCATTTTAGTGAGACGGTCAACCACTACCAAAATGGTGGTCATTCCTTTTGAGGGAGGTAAATCCACCACAAAATCCATAGAAATAGACCCCCATGGTCTTGATGGAACAGGGAGTGGCTGAAGCAACCCCAAAGGGGAGGCTCGGGGAATCTTATTGCGTGCACAGGTCAAGCATGAGGTCACATAGCGTTTGACATCTTTCTTGTACCCCGGCCACCAAAAGGAACGTGATAATAGTTCTTCGGTCTTAGCGACTCCAAAATGCCCAGCAAGTTTGGAATCATGAACCAACTTGAGAGCTTCCACCCGAACAGATTCAGGTACATAAAGATGATGTCCTTGAATCCAAAAGCCATTCTTATAAGTCAGGTTAATGTCCGTAGGTGGATGATTGAGAAGTGGGTCATTCTCATACCCCTCTTTAAGAAGATTCAAGAATGCCTTAGGACTTGTGGCCCCTAGAAAGTTCTTTTGAGGCAGGATTGTGCATTCAGAAGTGTTCTCCTGGAGAGGCCCAGACGACATTCGTGATAAGGCATCAGCCTTTCCGTTTCTTGACCCAGGTCGATATGAGATAATAAAATTGAACCTGGAAAAGAACAGTGACCAACGTGCTTGTCTAGAAGACAATCTCTTGGCAGAACGGATGAATTCTAGATTTTTATGATCCGTGAAGACAGTCACAGGATGCTTAGCCCCTTCCAACAGATGCCTCCATTCGGAAAAGGCTTTCCCTAATTGCCAGCAACTCCTTATTCCCAATGTCATAATTCCTTTCAGCAGATGACATCAAACGAGAAAAATAAGCACAGGGATGAAGCTGCATTTTTTCTCCTCGTCGCTGAGAAATGATAGCTCCCACGGCGGAGTCTGAGGCATCCACTTCCACAATAAAAGGTAGCTCAGGATCAGGATGTACCAATATTGGTGCAGATGTGAAGAGAGTCTTTAGCTTACTAAAAGCAGTTTGTGCCTCAGTTGACCATGCAAAGGGCACTCCTTTCTTTGTCAGCTGTGTAATTGGTGCTATTACCTTAGAGAAGTTTCTTATGAATTTCCTATAAAAGTTTGCAAATCCAATAAATCGTTGTATTTCCTTAACGTTTCCAGGGGCAGTCCAATCCACCACTGCCTTGATATTTTCAGGATCCATGCTCACTCCTTCTGAAGAAACGATATATCCCAAGAACTGGATCTGGGCTCGTTCAAACTCACACTTCTCCAATTTGATGTAAAGTCGGTTCATCCTTAACCTTTTGAATACAGTGCAGACATGCTTGCGATGCTCCACCAGGTTGTCCGAAAAGATGAGGATATCGTCCAGATAAGCAATAACAAACTGGTCCAACAAATCTCGAAACACATCATTTATGAAGTGCTGAAAAGTCGCGGGGAGCATTACATAGGCCAAAAGGCATAACTAGGGACTCAAAGTGTCCATATCTGGTTCTAAAGGCAGTCTTCCATTCGTCGCCTTGACGCATGCGTACCAGGTTATATGCCCCCCGTAAGTCAAGTTTTGTGAAGACTTTGGCAGAGCGGAGTCTTTCCAACATCTCTGCGATTAAAGGGAGTGGGTAACGGTTTTTAACAGTGATTTTATTCAAGCCCCTAAAATCAATGCATGGACGCAAGGTGGAGTCATTTTTCTCAACAAAGAACAGGGCTGCTCCTGCAGGAGATGTTGAGGGTCTGATAAAGCCCTTCTCCAAATTCTCATCAAGCCACTCCCTTAGCACCTTTAACTCAGGTTCTGATAAATTGAAAATGCGGCTGAATGGTATTTCTGCTCCTGGAAGCAGTTCAATGGGACAATCATATGGACGATGAGGAGGTAGTTGATCCGCATTTTTCTTATCACAGACGTCTCGAAACTCATGGTATTGTGGAGGCAGATTGTCATATGACTGTGTAGTTACCATATCAGCCTGTGATTTCCTGATTGGTAGACAACTTGTAGCACATGGTTTCCTACAATGTTCCTCACAATGGGGGGGATGTAAAATTTTATGGTCCATGCTCCCCAGTTGATGAAGGGATTATGGGTAGTAAACCAAGGGATGCCCCGGATGACAGGAAATTTAGGATGTAATCAGCTGAAAGCTGATGGTCTCAAAATGGTCAGCCTGAAATTGGAGTACTAGAGGAACTGTTTCATGAGTAACTGGTCCTGATGATAAAGGTGAACCATCAACTGTCTCCATATCAATAGGGGCAGATTTGTTTCTCCTGAGAATATTATTATTGTGGCAAACTCTATGTCCATAAAGTTTCCCCCAGCCCCAGAGTCCAGCATAGCAGAACAAGGAATTTCATGGCCCTCAATAAAAAGTTTGATAGGGACAACAAAATGAGACTGTTTAGGACCAACTTTATTTTCTTCATCGATCAATGGGGAGATAGACTGGGTAATTGAATTTATGCGTTCAGGCAGGATAAACATCAGTCGCAGCAATTGTTCTTTTGACTTTATTAGGACAATTGACTGCGTAATGCCCAGAGTCCCCCACAGTATAAACATAAATTCTCCAAACGTCTTCCCTCCTTCTCTTGAGTAGAAATTGCTCTTTTAACAGTATCTACTTGCATAGGTTCAGGTGTGTTATAATCTGAAGAAATGTTTAAATCCTTCTGACTGAACTGATTAGCAGAAAAAACGCATGCCACCATTACTTCCGAATCTCTCCTTTCTTCTTTCTGTCAGTCTCTGGTCAATCCGAATGCATAATTGGATGAACTCCTCAAGATCGTTAGGAGTCTCTACTCTGGCGAGCTCATCCTTCACCTGTTCAGAGAGCCCCTGCCGGAACTGACTCTTTTGCGCTGCTGGGTTCCAGGTGGTGTCTGAGATCCAGCGTCGAAATTCAGTTGTATACTCCGCAACAGGGCGTCTACCCTGCCTCAAACTATGCAGCTTTGCTTCAGCGGTAGCGCAGCGGTTGGGATCATCAAAGACCTGGTTCATTGCAGTCACAAAAGTCGCAAAACTGTTTAACATTGCATTGTTTTGCTCTATATAGGGAGAGGCCCAAGCTAGGGCTTCCTCAGTCAGGAGGTTTATAACAAACAATACCTTCTGCCTCTCAGTATTAAATGCAGCAGGTTGCATCTGGAAATAAATGCGGCATTGGTTAAGGAAACCCCTGTAGTGGCGGCGGGTCTCCATTGAACTTGAGTGGCAGAGGCATGCGTGTATTAGCAACATCGCGGGAGCACATGTCCAGCAATCGTGGCTGCAGAGCATGGATCTCTTCCTGTTGCCCCTCTACTACACTTTGCAGTTCAGCAAATTTCTTTTGGTAGGTAACACCAAACTCTTGTAGCTCTGAAATTTGCTGCCTGACAGGAGCCATGGCATTTGCTATAGCGGCCTCCATGTGTGGGCCAGATTATTCTGTCACGGTGTAAGGTCAGGTTCAGAGACCAGTTGCTATAGCAGTAAAAGGCTTACCTGGAACCAGCAGGATAGGTACACCAGCGGATCCCCCTGGGAAATGACGCAGGCTCATCTGAGGTGCGGGGTCTAAGTATTAACCGGTATTCACCAGAGCTCCTAATGGTGGAGATGGATTGGGCTGCGTGTTAATACCAGGTCGCAGATCTCAGGATCACCCCACCAGGGAATGAGCAGACTGGGAACCAATAGCGGATCAACAGGTTAGGGATCAGACGAAAGCAGAGTCGGTCACAAGCCAAGGGTCGGTCACAAATGGTAGCAGATCAATCGTGGTCAGGAACAAGCCAAAGGTCAGTAACGGAGGTGTAGACAGCAGCAGGAACAGTAGCAGGATATTGGCTGGAAAGGCACAATAATCTGGCAAGGAGGAAGTCCAAGGACATGGCTTATATAGGAAGTTCATGGGAGGAGCAAGGAGTTCAAGGTTCAAGAGCAAACAAGGCACAAGGCAGGATTATCCAATAGATGAGGCAAAGTGTTGTCCAGCATCCTAGGGTAGCTCAGTGAGTAGAGTTACTGCCTGACACAGTAGAAGTCCCAGGTTCAAGTCCAGGCCCTGACAGCAGGTGAGTCCCACCACCATTGGCGAGTCCATTCCTGACGGTACCACCCCCCCCCCTCAAGGAGCGGCCTGAGGACGCTCCAAACCGTCCTAAATGGGCAAAATGTTCCACCGCCGGATCCGGTAATTGGCGGTATATCAGGACTGGTACATCAGGCTCGGCACCGGGCAGAGGCACATCAGGCTGGGCACCGGACGGAGGCACATCAGGCTGGGCACCGGACGGAGGCACATCAGGCTGGGCACCGGACAGAGGCACATCAGGCTGGGCACCGGACAGAGGCACATCAGGCTGGGCACCGGACAGAGGCACATCAGGCTGGGCACCGGACAGAGGCACATCAGGCTGGGCACCGGACAGAGGAACATCAGGCTGGGCACCGGGCCACCAGGCGGAGCAGCGGGCACCGGGCCACCAGGCGGAGCAGCGGGCACCGGGCCATCTGGCAAGACAGCGGGCTCCGAGTCATCTGGCAAGACAGCAGGCACCGAGTCATCTGGCAAAACAGCGGGCACCGGGTCATCTGGCAAGACAGCAGGCACCGAGTCATCTGGCAAAACAGCAGGCACCGGGTCATCTGGCAAGACAGCGGGCATCGGGTCGTCAAGCAAGACAGCGGGCACCGAGTCATCTGGCAAGACTGCGGGCACCGAGTCATCTGGCAAGACTGCGGGCACCGAGTCATCTGGCAAGACAGCAGGCACCGAGTCATCTGGCAAAACAGCAGGCACCGGGTCATCTGGCAAGACAGCAGGCACCGAGTCATCTGGCAAAACAGCGGGCACCGGTCATCTGGCAAGACAGCGGGCATCGGGTCGTCAAGCAAGACAGCAGGCACCGAGTCATCTGGCAAAACAGCGGGAACCGGGTCATCTGGCAAGACAGAGGGCATCGGGTCGTCAAGCAAGACTGCGGGCACCGAGTCATCTGGCAAGACTGCGGCCACCGAGTCATCTGGCAAGACTGCAGGCGCCGAGTCATCTGACAAGACAGCGGGCATCGGGTGGTCAAGCAAGACAACGGGCACCGAGTCATCTGGCATTGGATCGTCAGGCTGGGTAGACACTTCAAGCCGGGTAGGGTACACACCGGGTCATCAGGCATCAGGGTATCAGGCTGAACCACGGAAGGCGGGTTCTCAGGCAGGCTGACCTGTTTGGATACTGGCAGGATGGTACTGGTTGGAAAGAATTTTCGCTTTTTTCCTGGTTTTAGTTACTGGAGCACAGGAAGTAAGCGCAGGTTTGTAAGTGGATAGAGCAGCTGTAGGCAGAGAAGAGCTGGGGGATGGAACAAAGGAGGGAGCAGTTGCTACAGAGGACTTCTTTACAGGGTTAAAGAAAGGATAGGTGCAGCGAGTGGGAGCAGGGGACTGATATGTGGTAGTTAGCAGAGTATACTGGGCCGTCACTGGGGGTGCTGTCGGGGATGCAGGAAGAGTGCCTTGAGCAGAGGAATGACGTTGCAAGCTGACTGAGGCTGGGTGCAACAAGTCTGACCACGTCTGCAGTATGGGTTGAACAAGCTCAGCTTACACAAAGCCTGTCTGGTCAAAAACTGCACTGCGTTTATACAATCTCTTAGTACCTGTTGTGAACATGCAGAATAACGCTCCAGAAAGTAATCCACGTCATCCTCCAATAACCATACCAGGGACTCTACCTGGTCGGCACTAAATGGCGGCAAAAATTCATCCCTGCTTTCGGGGGTACCAGATGAAACCAACTCTGCACAAACCTGAATCACTGGTTGCACCTCATAGAGAACTCTGTGCTCTGATCTACTAGGCAATGAGCGATCCTTACGCACTCTAGTAGTTGATCCCGGGTATACTCCTTCAGAGTCTGATGATGTCATCAAACACTAGCAGAGACAAATATATCACCTCATCAAGATGCATCCTTCCCAACAACAATAAGCCAAGATGGCTTCCCTGTGCAGCCACTTCTGGTCAGGATTGGCCTTGGTGTAATGTCAGGGCTCGGGGTATGACCAGAGGTGTGTGGACTGACACAGGGAAACGCAGGCTTCAGATATAGTATAAACAATATAATTTATTTAAGACTAAACAATACATAAACGCAGTGCAAGACTAAACATAAACAGAGTGCAAACAAACCAAACCAAACCCCCAACAGATAACAAAAGAACAATACTAAGCGTAGTCGGGCAGGCCGGGTCGGTAGCAAACGGGCAGGTAAGGTACAAAGGAGCAGGCAGAGCATAGTCAGACGGGCCGGGTCAGGAACAATCAGGGAGACAAGGTACAAAGGAGCAGACTGGAGAGTGGTCAGGAATAGCAGAGGTCAGGACAGGCGGAGTTCAATCAGAGTCAGGGATCAAGCAGGATCAGACAGGAAGCAGACAGGATGCAAGTACAGGGGCTCTTGGGAAACATACACCAAGGCCCTGATTGCAAGTCTGGCCATTCCTTATATGCACCTTCTGCAATCAGCCTCAGGTGTTTTGGCTGACTGCAGGAGTGAGCCTCTGGTTGCTGAGAGCACACCGCTGGCCAGTCCTGGTACTGCAACCCACAAGGCAGGTGAGTCCCACCACTATTGGCGAGTCCATTCCTGACAGGTACCTTTTTCATAGGCTTTTTTGAACTTGGGCAAGGACACAGGGGCCCCATGATCCCCTATTGCCCGGAGCGGTGGGCCTCATGAGTTGTCAGTACCGCCCCTGTATACAAGCATGTAGCTAGACCTCCATGCAGGGAGAGCAGAACAATACATGGTGTTGGATTCAAGTAATGCTCTGTCTAACTAGGGCCTTCTAATACAATTTATATGCTCTACAGTGGGTGGCACCCACCTATCTGATCTTTCCCGAAGAGCCATCTGTGTCCCCGGTGAAACTCACTGAGATGGGATTATTTGTCCACATGTTACTGTCACTTCCAGTGTCCTTCAGGTCTAACAGGTCTTCAAAGGCTGTGACAACAATCTTGCAAATGAAAGAGAGGGCAAGAGGTGTGAGATTGATGTGGAACTGGTTTTCTCATACAGAACAGAGGAAAAAACAGGATGTTAGGCCACCAGGAGAGGACAACAGGTGTGGAACTGGTTTTCTCATACAGAAAGAGGAAAAACAGGTTGTTAAGCCATCTGCTTCATTACCAATGTATTTCATATTAACAATGTATTTTTATTTATACCTAAAATGGCTGCTCCATTTTCCCCTTCACTTTGATGAGGACATGTAAGTTTTACTTTCTTTGCTGCTGTACTTAAAAATACATATTACAAAATATGTAAAAATATTACGAAATATGTAAAAAATATAACTTCCTTCAAAAGATTTATTATCAAAATAAAGTTGCTATCACTTCTTTAGGACATGATAGAATGAAACTTCATAAGGGTGGCCATGTATTCCAGTTATTTTATTATGGTTTAATAAGCTATCACGTCTCCCTGAGTCTAATGCTAGCGATACACAATGCAATATGTGGAAATAATGGCATGGCAAAGATGTGATCATGAGTGCAAAGCACTATACCACAGTAACATGGGTCACATGAATTCAGTTCAGGCAGCTGCAGCCTGGTTTCTTGTAGTTAATAGGGTGCCTGCATAGAGTCACCTTAGTGTATTTCCACATTTGCAGCCAAATAGGCACACCACCTATGTTTTATTTGTTGCATTTTTCCCTATCACATAGTATAACTTTGAAAAAATAATTTTAGAATTGCTGCTTAACTTTTTACCTAGCTTTCCCCTTTTTATGTAATGTGGGGAGGGGGCTGGCAGATCTTCATTATCAGTTATAAACTTGTCTGTTCTAACAAAAAATTTCAAGCTCTCAAGACTTGGGTAGTACATTCTATGTTAATGCACCTTTAAACAAATCTGTCCCTTAATTGTACTTTTTGAGAGATTCTGAACAATACAAGCTGCCCAATAATTCCTATGTATACACCCTGCTCCAAATATGTTTTAAAATTATTTTTTTAGGCATGCCATGTGAGTGGGAACATATAAGAAACATATAGCGGGGGGTTCTCAAATTTAACTGCAAAGATGGAATTACTCTTTAAAACTC